GACATGGCCAGGCCCTCAATATGCATTCAGAGGTGAGCAATGTGAAGTAACTGAGCTGTATGTCCTCTTAGGATGGTCTTGATCCATGGTGTTTGCTGGCAGCAAGATCCCAGTGGGAGCCGCTGCACAGACATCAGTATGTTGCTTCCTTTGCAAAGAGACTTGAAGCTGCCAGCGCAGTTCTTTATCTTAATATCACCTAGTTTTGCATTCATCTGTGTACAATTAAACTGTTAATATATCGGGGGAAAAATTCATCCAGGAGAATGTACTAGGAATACCTAAATGAGGTAGCGGTGTTACCTCAACAAAATATTATTGTTATTAAATGTTCCCACCAGATACTTGGACAGCTTGCATTACAACTGCAAAGCTAACATTTCATTATGGGAAGATATATATTCATAATGGATTGCAATTTACCAAAATACACAGAGGGCCCCAGATTTGTCAGTGTGCATTTGCTCTGTAAGAAATACATCTCACTGAAAACCAGATGTCAAAATTAACAGTAGAGCTTTTGCAATGTAGGGAGGAAAGCTGACATTTCAGAGCTGGCAGTCCAGCTGTGTTAACGGCGTCAGGGAGCCTTTGTGTTATTAAGCACAATGTTTAGCAGTGGAATTGCATTAGGAGTTTATTTAAATTATGAACGGTGGGAAATCAGTACACTGTGTTGGGGACAACAACTGCAATCAGAGGTGAGATCCTGAATCCCACCCCCACCCCCCCCCCCCCCCCCCACCAATCTTTTTCTTTTTCTTTCTGTTTGTTTGCCATCTCTCTATATGGCAAAATTCCAAGCAGTTGTAGCAGTGGCTTCAGTTCTGAGGAAATTGCTGGGGATCACCATCAGGGCTGCATTTTGGAGAGGGGCAGGTGAGACAGAATTTTGAAAGCTCTTGTAAAAGTCTGAGTAACAGTTGTGGAAATGTAAATTATTGATGCATATCCACCTGGCTTCAAATGTGCTCTGTCTTCCCTGTAATTTAACCTAGTTTTCAGGGTATTTTTTATCTGTAGCTTTCTAGAACCAGTATTACCCATGCATTTTATCTCATCTCTTTCTCTTGATCTTAGAGGTTAGCTAGTGAGTCAGTGCACTGATTAGCTTGACTAATTTTTTGGCATAGATTTCAGTCAGGGAAAAAAGGGTACGCGTTTTTAGAAGTGAAGAAAATTAACCATTGAAACAACATAAGCACTGGTGGATTCTCCATTATCAGCAATTGTAATATCAAGAGGTACTATGAGATGTCTCTGGTTTTTCACAGTCATTAATTCAGGATAATGGACAACTCAGTGGACAATGAAACTGGATGATCTCAGCAGTCCATCCTGTCTTGGGAGTTCCCAGACCTAGTGGTTTGGTACCATGCTTAGCTCATTTCCTGCTTGCAGAAAATGATGTGAAGAAATATTTTGTCTCATAGTCAAAGTCCATGCCTTGCTCTGAGGAGCATAATCCACAGAGTGGGAGATCTGTGTCTCAAGTCATACCTGACTAAGGGACAATGAATTACGTGCAAAGTGGTGTGTAACCTTGTCTCCTGGAGGGCTCCTGGGGTCCCTACTCACCACCGAAATGTGAATTGCAGTCACAGACTCTGAATATATTCACCAAATCAGACGCTACATCAGATGGCAGTGATTAGGAGTTACCCTGCTCTACATGGAAGCAAGAGAGGGAGCAAGAGAGGGGCTCCACTGGGGAGCCTCTCTGGCAAGTTGCTCTGTGAGGGGACTGCAGCCCCTGGAAGAACATCACCTTCTTCCCACTGGGTTTGGGAGGCAGGATGGGGCCAGGAACCCAGAAAATAATGGGATGCAAACGTGTTGCTTTGTCAGATGGGGAAGTTGTATCTCCTTTTTATAGGCAGAAGGCAGCGCTGACTTGCCTAAGGACATTGAAGGGAGATATTCAATTTTGCGCCCTTCAAGGAGAGGTCATACTTCCTCTTTAAAATCTAGATAGATAGATAGAGATTGCTGTTGACCCCAGAAGCATTATGTGACCTTATCTACCATAGAGATATTTTCCTGAGGTTTTCTATTAGAGAGCTGGCCTGCTACTCAAAGGGTGAGTATGGAGGTGATGCCAATGTTTGAACCCACCTATGCTGAGCAGAGGTGACTGACAGGGCAGATACGAGGTACTCCATGTGGCTGACTGGGAGGAATAGAGAGAGAAATATTTAGGGGAAAATAGATCCTCAAAGCCTGGATAGAGACATTCAGTCCTCTTCAGTAAATCACTAAAGCATGATCTTGAGCATATATTTCAATGTTTTGCTGAACTGGGGCCCAGCAGAGGAAGAAGTCTTAGGTAAATCACAGTGTATAAATACCTCTGCTGTGAGTGTAACTAAGGCCACAGTGCTGTCACACAACACAGCAATAAATAGGTTCCTGAATTAGAGAAAATCTCTGCTGTACTTCAGATGTGACTGTTTGAACTACATGTACAAAATGTCCTTTGAAATAGCAGCTGTGTCTGTTTTATCTTCCTCTGAAAGATAAGTAATTATGAGACTGTTATAATGATTTCTTAAAAAAAAAAAAAGGGGGGGGGTCTAAACAGCAATTGCCTTCTAGTGCAGGAGATATTTAAACATCAGTACCTTGAATTGATTAAAAGAGCTGTCCTGATAATGCAGTTTTGTAGCTTATGGTTTGCACTGAATGGCACAATGAATCATGAAAAACTGAAGAGGAGATTTTTGATGGGGACCTTACACTACACCCGTGACTCTGAGTTGGTGTTTTCATATCAAAAAGAAGTTTGCATTTGAATGAAAGTTCTCCTCACTGATGCCAGCCAGCATTTGTACTAGAGTGGCATATTTTTGATCTTTAGTAATGAATGCAGGAATACTTTGCTTCACTGGAGAGCCTCTTACAGTCCTATTTCTAGAAGATACTTTCTCTTGTACATTAATGTTTTTTGTATTTCTACCTTGATTGAAGGATTTTGAATACCAGATCTGTATCAAATATTGCATTTTTCCTGGCTGTTTATTAGTCGTAGCAATTCAATATTTCCTTAAACTTTCCCAAACGCAAAATAAATTTCTTCCACCTGGATAGGTAACCAGTAGAAAACAGTCTCCAACTGACAGGTAATATTGGTGAGATCTTGGATCATAGGAGAAGCTGAGCATTTGCATCTTCTCCTAGAATTACCAGAAAATGTGTTTATTAAAGCCCTGTTGGAATCAGTTCTCTTGCAGCATTTAACTTAGTAACTCTAGTATAATTTTATGAGTAAGGTTAGCTCTGAGATGCTTACTGTTTAAGTGTGTTAATGAATCTGACAGGCGATGTGAGAATGCATGCTGCTGTATGCAAGGTCTAGCAGTCAGCAAGCTGAATTGGAGTCTCTTTCGTTCTATTTTTTTAATCCTTTTTTGTATTATGTGTAAAAAGGGGGGAAAAAAGGAATGAAATCCACTGTCCCTCTAAGCTGCAGTTTGAGAATCATTAATTTTACTTCTGCTCAAGGTGGCACTTAGGTCTGGAATCCTTCTGTACCCTCGCTTGTGTAATTAGTCTGCTTCTGCCACAATAGGGTCTCAACCGTCTAAATCCTTGTCTTGAAGCAAGTACTGACAGCCCCCTCGTGTTAAGTTTTGTAAACACTAATTTGTGACATCTCCTGTGGCTTAAATCAAAGCACTCAAGTAAAAGTAATAATACTACTGTTAAAGTGAATGTTACAGAAGAAAACGTCTGTCACTTGACACTAAATGCATATGACACCAAGCGTGTTTCATGAGATGTTTCTAATGAGGAGGCGTTGGGGGAAGTAGTACTGCTTTCTTAGTACCACAGCTATCGGCTCCATGGCCTGCTCGGTAGAAAACAAGAAGGACGGATATTCCTTATTTCAAGTCTGTTTTGCATTTTCCTCGAAAGCACATAAAAGGAGGAGGAGGACCTTGGATCCTGCAAGTATTCATTTGAATTGCAGCTGTGGTCACCAAAGAGACCAAAGCCCCATTTCTGCAAGGTGCTGTACAATCCGGGAACACAAGTTCTTTCCTGTCCCTTAAAAATTGCAGTTTAAAAGGCAGGAGAGGATATTACCTAAAATTATGGCTAGAAAATACAGCTCTTTCCTATTTGTACCTCTTCTTTTTTAGTCAGCCTCTGTCATCCCTTTTTATTCACACTGGTTGAATTGAATGCATCATTCTTCCTTTTCCTGCACTGAATCCTGTTGTTTGCAGCTTTGCCAGTTATAAGAAGTTTGTGTAACACCACACTGAAAGTCTCTGAAACCAAAACTGCGATGTCACGCAGGTGTTACTTATAGAAATATCTTTAAAAATTATTCCTAACATAACCATAATATGAACCTCAGGCAGGTAGCTGAACTGGTTGTACACATCTGCTTTTTTTTTTTTTTTTTATATGTTGAAGGATAAAGCCAACCTTTGTTAATATATAAGAATCCCAAGCAAAATGGAAAAGTGGACGGTACTACTGTAAGAGAAGCATCATGTTGTGTAAACTCCCGTCCCACAGGAGGAGCAGACAGTATGACAAAATGCCTGAAAGCATTGCCTGTATATAAACTCGAGGCTTGGAGTGGATGGTAGTACAGCCATGAAGGTCCGCTCTTAAAACCTCATATGTATTTTGATGGTGACAGTGGCTGCAGAGGCCAGAGCTGTGGCTTTCCAAATCACTGACTGCTTTTACTCCTCTCTGTTTAGCTTCTTTCAAAGTGGGATCAGTTGTAGAAACAAGAGTTAGATGAGGCTCCAGGCCATGGCATATCACCATCTCAAAAAGACTGACCCCTTCTTGTTGGTTGCTTGGTCTGAGTGAAAGATATTTCCAGGGGATGAGTTGTCCTTGACTCCTACTACCTGAATTTATGCTGTGGAGTCTACTGAGGATACAGCTGGTGTGCTTGGCACTGCGTATCACCAGCATGGAAACCTGCCAGCTGGGCAGTGATCTCATGTGCTGAGGTTTTTTGTCTTTTTCCATAGGCATTTGTCTGAGTTTGCACAGTTGAATGGTGTGGAGGACAGAGCCATGGTGGGGAAAAGAATGAAGAACAATTAGAAGATGTGATATCCAGGGAGCAGCATGGGAAATTCAGCCAGAGCTGAAGGTAAGAAGTGGAGGCAGGAATTCAGGAATTCCTCTGAGTCTGCAGCATGGGAGGAGATTGTTTTGCTTTATATGAACTATGAGTGCACTTTTGACTGCTAGACATATTGATGGGCAATAAGGGATTGCCCAGAGGTACATGGTAAGTGAATACACATGGACCCTGGGAGGCCATTTCTTCTTTTACTTTCCCCAGATTGCCCAACTCCAAAGCCCGTGGCTAAAGACCCAGCTGCCTGCTGCCGTTATCACCATTATGCCTTGTGCTGAAAGGAAGCAACTGCTTTGTGAAGTCGGTGGAAGTACGCCAGTGCTCAACCAGCTGGAGACCTGGCCCATGCTTGGCTTCAGCTGAGTGGACTTCAAGGTCAGCTACTGCTGTGTGTGTGGGGACAGGCACAGCTGTCCCTGGTCGCAGGCCATGGGCCAGCTGCTCCACTGCCGGGAATCGTGGCAGCTCACTCGAGTCAGCACAACTACACTAATTCCCACTAGTGAAAGGTTTGGCCTTGGGGAGCTGCTCACAAGCCTTAGGGTAGAGGTGTAGTCTGGAGCTGGGGTCCAGAACACTGTGGAGCAGCGTGCTGGCTAGCTCTTCCTATTTCTGGTGTTCAGTAATCGTGTATTAAAAGGTTAGAAACCCAGGCAGGTGCTGTAATGTCTAGAGTGTTTCTAACATCTTTCTTTCATTTCCTTTGTAAGACTTTCTTTTTTAAATGAAAAATGAACTTTTTTGATTCCTCTATTCCTTGTGTGATTAGGGGAAACCCAATCGAGTACATCTGCTGAATGCTTCTATCATGGAAATATTTAGTACCAGCTCTAGCATATTTATATTGGCTCCCTGATTAGACAATGTGCCAAGCTGTCCTTCGCGGCCTTAATTATCGCAACTTCAGGCCAGTGTTGCCTGCTTTCCAGCATAATCCCACGGCCTAGAGTGAACCCTGAAAATGCTTAATTAAATGACATTCCACAACAGATTAAAGAGTCAGAAGCCCAAGATAAAGAAAAAAGGAGATTGTGACCGCAGAGTAGCAGGTGCTCTTCCCTTTCAGGATCACCGTCCTTACACTGACTATTTCACCTTGAGCATATTTAAAAAAACAACATTACTTGATAGCAGTTTAGGGCCTGCATTTGGCTTTTTGCCTTTTTTGTGCAAAGTGATTCAGAGGTGCCTCGTGTCAGCCCTTATCCCCGGCTGTTGTATGTATGAATCAGCTGTGTGGAGTCTCACTGATTTACATCGGCTGAGAATCTGCTCTGTGCTCAGCATAATTTGACTGTCTGTCTCTGTAATCGTGTGTGAAGTATGGCCTGATCATGAAGTCTGCTCATGTGAGTAAGACTTGCATGCCAGGCCACAGGGCGTAGCTCTGCAGAGTTGATGTGGAGCTATGCCAGCTTCCACTAGCCTCGAATCTGGCAGTGTGAAGGGGAAGGCTACAGGATGGACACCTTCCACCAGCCTTTACAAGTGTGACCAGAGATTTTGTACGCTTCAGGATTTGGGCGCCTAGCATGAGGCACTTTAACAAAGTCAGTCGATGCCTTTGCTGTGCTGCACTTCTGAAATCTCGAGTGAGGCATCTGGGTCAGGCACCAAACATCAGTTGCCTTTTATTGATTTAAAAAGAAAAACAAAGCCCTCTCTGTATGTAAAAACTAGTGTGCAGATATATGGAATAGAGACGATCAAAGTGTGTTATAGAATCACCCTGGGAGCCAAAGTCTGCATCTAACAACAGAAGATCAGAATACAAATACCAATGTTGTAGATAATGTTACATTGCACAGATTAGAGTTCAAATCTTCAGCAAATCTGTTCATAGCAGGGAAACGACAGCAAGTAGGATACATGCAGCACACTGAGCAAATCTCATTCAAAGGCCAATCTGTAAAAGCAGTTATCACTAATATTGTTCTAATATTGTTTATCATATTATTCCTCAAATATTTGCTCCAACAGCTCTCCTGTCTTGGCTTAATAAACTGGCCCTACAGAAGCTGACCTGGATTGATTTCCTCTTTGCTAAGAGAAGCGGATCATGGTTGGATTTCATGACATTTCTGCGGGTTCGGTTTGTACATTGCGTGTTCTTATCTGGTCCTGTGAACAATTGCAGCAACTAAACTACAGGATGGGAATGAATTAAATGTCCGGGTTAATACAGGGCAGTCATCAGGGGAGAAAATACACAAAGGGCCTGGGAGAGGGTGCTACCCCGATTGGTGACCTTGGTGGTTGGGAAGGTGATTTGCCAGGCAGTGGGGTCTGGCTGGGAGTTTCAGCTGCACCCAGGGAAGGAGGAGGGCTGTTGCTAGGCAGCACGGGGGGGAAATGCATTAGCCTCATACCTCGGGAGACCTGAGGTTTAAGTATCTCTTATCTTACAAGTGAAAGGAGTTTAGTGGTCCCAGCCTAATCCCTGGTGCATATTTTGTCCACAGTACAAAATGTACCACATGGTTTGACACAACTGGAAGCTTTGGGTGAGTAAAGGCAAGGATTTTTTTTATTATTAGTGTTTGATAGCAGAAGCAAGGCAGATTATTTCTGAACCACATCAGCAAAGTAAGCTATGTGAGGGAGTAGAGTGCATTATTTCCCTATCTCTAAAATGGAGAAGATACCTCCTGTTTTATTCCTGAGCATGGCTATTCAGATGGTGAGGTTTTGGTGGTGGGACCATCTTCTGCTATGGCTCTGAGCCGGCAAACACCTGCTGCGTGTGCTTAATCTGCGCGCCATGATGAGTTCCACTGATTACAGTTGGGCCCCAAGCAGCAATGCTGAGCACACACCAGCATTGAACAATCCCTAGGCCTGATCCTGAGTGGGGTTTGTGTGCACTACTGAAACACTTTTCAGGTAAAGTAGTCCTGCCTGAACTCTATATGACTTTACAGAACACAGTGCTTTTACCAACATCAACATTTATCAGCTTCTTCTATTGCAGCTTTCCTTTTCCAAATGGAAAGTAGACAAGTTTAAAAGAAACAAGTAAAATCTTACACTGAAAACCTCTTTGTAGATACCCTGTGGAGGCATAACCTGCAGCAATGCATGTGTCACAAGGATTTTTATGTACTTATGGATATTTTATGCATAATTAGGAGCTAGAAGCCAACAGGTCTGCATTGATTCCTTTGCAGAGCTTTGCAGACACTAAAAAGCATCAGCTTGAACTTGTTTCCTTTATTCTATAATTATTACTGTTCCTCAGGATTTGCTAAACAAACTGAAAGCTTATCTTGGTCCAGTCTAAAGGCCCAGTTCTGTGAGGGTTAGAGCATCCTCAGTTTCTCATGACTTCTCCAAGTTATGTGGCTGCATGCAGCTTTTGCACACTCTGCTCTTCAGCTGGGTAAAAGATCAACCAGAGTCAAAATCTGGACGTCTTACCCCGCTTTAGCCCATGTGGGAATTGTGTGTATACAAGCCAGGACACTTTGACTCAGAAGCAGCAGAAAAGCTTTTCTTGAGTCGAGCCCCCAGCCTGGGCCTGTGTGTACAGCAGATTGCACAGACCCCATCTGAAGGCCTCTTGTGGCTGGAGCAATATAAAGGTCTTTATCTAAAGTCTTAGTCCGTGGAAATGCTTCTTTGAAGTCTTTGGGCCTTCACATGTCCTCCAGACTTTCATTTAATGCAGTGGAGGGGGGTTGTTTTTTGTTATTTTTGTTTTTAAAGATTCCAGGTAAGATTTCAACGAGCTGGGGATGTGTATAGTATGCAGTACTTGCTTGAGTCTTAATCAAATCAAACTGTTATTTTAAGAAGCAAAAATAAAGGCTGTTAAAGCAGGCCAGACACTTACAAAGCAGCAGATGTTTCTCTTTATTGTCAGAACAGCAATCTTTATTAAATACCAAAGAAAGCCCTATAAATCCAGGCAGGCAATTGAATCTGTGCTAAGGACACCTCTTCCTCAGGCCAGACAGTCCTTTCCCTTCAAAGTCATTTGTTTTTCCTACTGATCCTTCCATGGTGTTTCCGTAACATAAAAGCAAAAGAGAAAATGAATATTTAACAGTGGAAATAACCTGGTAGTTTAAGCTTGAAAAAGTGAGCATGAAAAGTAAAGGAAATTGCTAACAAAATGCCTTTCACGCTTGTGCTTCCTTCTCACTGATGCCATGGCTAACACAGAACAATTCTAGGGGACCCATGGAGATGTCCTAAAATTAGTAGTGGGCTGGTATGTCTGGTCACAACACAGTTAACGTCAAGGCATATCTTCTCCTGAGAACATGTCTGGAAAAAAGCAAACACCATGTTATTATTGCCTGTGAATTGCAAAATGATGACCCTGTGGAATGGAGGAAGCTTTCTGGGTTAGCTGGAGACTGCTGGCCATCATGAGTCTGGTAGTTTTCACTAGCATTACTAGTAGCATCTTGCACTTTTAAGAAATAACAACAAGGTTTCACAAATTAATAAATGAAAGATTGTGATTGACTAAACAGTGTATGCCAGTCTATGCAGCTGTTCCGTTTTAACTAGGTAGTGTCCATAGATACAGTGTTAATTTAATTCTCAGATGAAATACTCTAGAGGAAATGTCAGATCAATAATGTAGAAAAGGGCAAAGATTTGCTAAGCCTGGCTGACTTATGTATATTAACTACTGTGAGATAGATATGGATAAAGGCTGAACATTGTGGTGAGTAATCACAACTGTCTTGGGTGTCTGAAAACATTTTCTAAGTAAAAGCTATGCAAAACAAACATGTTTCAGGCAACAAACTGGTGTTAAGGTAACATTATTTCATCCGCAACGCTATAATTAAAATCCATGGGTTCACTGTTTTTCTAGAGGAGTACAAAACACCTTTTTTCAGTAATTGTCCTGTTCTTCCTTGCATGGTGCTGAAAGTCCCCTTGCCCAGCATTAACCCAGGCTCCCACACCAGTACATCTTTGAGCCTGCCTACATATGTATCGGCGCTAGCAATTAGCTGTTTTATAGCTTGTTTTTTATCATCTGGATTTTATGTGTTTTGCCAACAGGTTGTATGGGTGCAACTCCTATTCCCTTCAGACTATGGCCATGGAGGAATTTCAGATCTCTGCTCCAGAGTCACCGTGAGCTTGGTCTGCTTTCAGCTGTTCCGCTCTGCGTAACTAGCTGGTGAGCCTCACTGGCCCAGCAGCCTTGGCTGCTCATCCCTTCTGAGCCAGCAAATGTAACTGCCAGTACTCAGATGGACTTGTTAAGGCTGGGAAGGACTGGTCAGCTTTCTTGATTCACCTTTAAATGTTTTGGATCTCCAAATCTGGATCATCATTCTGATTTGAGCCTGTCATTGCCTGGAGACGAGTCAAATCCTATTTGCAGGTGACTGAAAAACACTTAATGGACAGGCAGGTCCCATGTTACTTGGGAGTGTCCATGGAACTGACTAGCAAGGAGTACTTTGAAAGCAAATTCCACTTTTCCTTCTCAAGGAAGGAAATATTTCTGTTCCTAGCAGCTGTGTTTAGCTGTGGTCATGGCTAGCATGCCCTTCTTCCAACGGAGACAAGACAAGACAACTTTCTTGGTCTTTGGGCCTGAATGTCAGCTATTTAACAGTGGCAAGGTAGTTTTTCCATGCAATCTTTGCTAAACCACTCAGAAACCTTGAGGATTTTTTTATTTAAATAACATGATCTCTTGCAGCAGTGTGAGTGAGAGCTCTCCCAGAGACAGCGTATGCATGTGTAGTCTGTGGGAACACTGTGATTTCAGAATTGCCAAAACAAACAACAGGTGCCTGTGTTATTTTGCAAGTAGGAGCTCCTCAAATGTCAGACTTTGGCAGAGAAGATGCTTCCTTACAACACCCATCTTTTTACCCCAAAGGCCCCTGGAAACCTGGGTGGTGTATTTATGGTAAAGAATGCAGAGTTAGAAAATATTTTGAATCACCTTTGATGAAGAAGTCTTTAAAGTGCCTTCTCAGCTACTTGTTCAGCTGCTTTATTTTTGCTTTCAGCAGAAGTATGGATCTGTATCAGGTTTAAGAATAACTGGGGAAGGCCCAGTGACTCAGAGAACTCATAATAGCCTTTTTCCCTAAGGGCTTGGCTAAGCTACTCCGCAGAACTTTGTATGGGTGTAGTTACGCCGAGGTCGCTGTACCAGTACAAACCTGTGGTGCAGAAACATGACAAGATTGGAAAAAATGCCTACACAGATGCAATTAGCCCTCATCCGGGAACTGTGCGGGTTGCAGTGATGTCCAAGCAGGATTTGTCATGGTGGTGGCTAACGTTAGGCCTGCTGCAGAGATGCGAGACTGCACAGCGCACTTCCTAGAACAAGACCTTTTTTACTCTTTTTTACTTCTCTAGGGGAGAAATTACCAGCCAATGACTCTTCTGTGAGCAAGTAAAACTATGAAGCGATCTCCCTCTGTGCCTAAGAACCATCTTGTGCCTCAGGAGCCAGCCACCCCAGGATGGCTTTTGGAGGAGGCAGGGAGATCTCGGGGGCCTCCATGCAGCATCAGGTGGAGGCTTTTCCACAGCCTCCAACCTGTGTCAGCCTGGCCTATAACCGCGTGCTACCAGCTGCATTTTAAAAGGAGGAAAGAAAAGAGCTGACGCGAGCTGGAGCTGCTTTAAGGTGGAACTGAAACCATAGCTTGTGGCTGTCTGAATCAGTTCCCTCGTTTCATAAATTTGACTCAGTGCTGAATATTTCAGAGCATCAGAAAGAAAAGACTTATTTCAATTTTGGTACTAATAATGGCCAAAGGTCACGGCAGCTGGGAGGAGAGGGAAAATGAAAGGCATGGGCTCATCTATTTTCTCTGAACCAGCTTCACCCGTTCCTAGTTACAATCTCAGCAGAATAATAACTGATATTAAGCAAAGCCAAGAAATGAAATTAATGTGCAAAATAACAAGGGCAGCAAGGGAAAAATAACGGCTAAGAGCAGAATGTCTCACTCTGAGATACTGGCTGGTAGTTCACAAGCAAAGGGTATACCCTGTGCGCTAGCAGACCTGTACTTTGGGAACGCTCTTTACTGCCACTAGTGGCACAGAGCAGTTCTAAGGAAGAGGAAAGGTACTGTGTACAGGGGAAACTCTAACTTCTCTCAGATCCCCAAAATGCCTTAATGTGCTGAAAATCCACCCTTAAAAGGTGCCAGCTAGCTTAAAACTTGATCTGCAGAGCTCAAGCTCTGAGCTTCTCCAGGAATTTGGCCTGTCCTCAAGACCAAAATCTTGGCATATGCAAAGAGCTGTATGAACAGGAGAAATAACCAGGACTCCCAGTCATGCTGCATTATTGTGGAAATCACTCTGAGGCCTAACTTACATACCTTGTGTAGACAAAGGGCTCCACCTACACCCAGCCTTGTTATGGCTCCAACTCCCAGTTTTGCTCCCAGAGATTTTGCAGATCTCTGCTCACTCTCTTGAGTTTAGTTAGCAGTAGCCCAAGTTTCCTTTTCACCCATCTAGGGAAAGCAGAACCTGAATACGTAAATGTATTCACTTCCAAAGCATTCTCTGTAGGGACTTCCCCTAAGGTTTCTGACAACAGGTTATCTTGCAAGCACATTAATCTGACGATGGTGGCCAAGAAAACCAAGAGCTTTCTGCCATTGTCAAATTTCCCAGAGTGCCTGCTGAAAATATAGCACACCCCTCAGCCTCTGCACACAAAAGGACACAAACATTAGGCTGAGGTGTGAAACAAGCAATAGGAGAGAAGGGTGCATTTTATATACATTAATAATAACAATATATCTCTTACGAAGCAATTATATTTGAAGAGGTTAGGATTGCTGATGGAATATAATAGGCATGGAAACCTTTTTTTGCTTCTTGGCAGAGATGGTGTTGCCTCACTGGGCTTAGTATAGCACTGTGTGTTAAAATAGTTGTTAGCACTGGAACATTGCCTCCCACATGGATGAGCTTAACACATGGCAAGCTGTATGATGTGGATGCGAACCTGAGCTGCCAAGCATAGTTGTGGGGATGTAGCCACTTAGCCTGTGCCGAACTCTGTGCTGCTACCACTGATGGAGAGCCAGCCTGGCTCAATCCGTGGGGCAGGCGCAGGCTTGCCAAGGGGATCTCTGCTTTCTGCTTCCATCTACAGGTCCCAGGGCATTGCTGAAGGGCATTTCTCGCTGGTGGTAGATGTTGGCATGTTTTGGGGTGTAAACTCACATTCTTGTTCTACCTGGATCCTCACACAGAGAGTGACTGCAAATGCTGGTCATAAAGGACAAGGCAAATTCCAGTTTGCAATAAACATCCTAAACAGTTCAGGTGGGAACTATCCAAAAGGAAACTGGCCAGGAAGGCAGATTAGGGAACCCTGGTTTTACTACCTCAGAAGCATTTCCTGCATCCTCAGGCACTCTGTCTTTATTTGTAAAACCTTCCAATTGTTCTGCGGGTGAGCTATGTGCAAGCAGGTAAACCATGGTGACAGGAAGAAAAGGATGCCTCTGGAAGGAAGCTCGCTCACATGGAGACGTGATGCAAATTGGCTGGAGAGCTGTGTAAGCAGCCAAGGCTCCAGCTTGCTGCTTAGCATGGTGTTTACAGCTGTCCCATGGATACCTTGCAATCTGCTCCAGGCACCAGCCATCCTCATTACTTCTCTAATTTAGTTAGATGTTGGGAAGCTGAGGACTGTGCTGCATGGTGTGGGTGTCCAGTCTCCCAGTCAGTGCTCTGGCCCACTCGTGTTTTGCTGGTGTACTGGCCTAGCCAATGCTGGTTGCCATCATTTCCCCATCATTCCTGAGCTCTCCTATTCAGGCATACTTTGTTTGGGAAACACGAAAGCCTGGCTGGTGGCATCAGCTCCCTTGCCCACGCAGGTCAC